ACTTACCCACCTCTGCTTTGCTGATGACCTGCTGGTCTTTATGGATGCATCAAACTATTGAATTCAGGAGTTGCAAAGAATTCTTGTCCAGTTTAGGAAGCTATCTGGATTGAAATCTAACCCTAGTAAGTGTGAAATTTTTTTTGGAGGGTTACCTCAGGATGAAAGGGTAGTTAGAGTGAAAGATATGGATACAAACTGGGGGAGTTCCCTGTCAAATACTTGGGGGTTTCTCTGATATCTGGTAAATTGAACTTAACAGCTTGTAAACCGCTTATAGAGAAGATAGTTGCTAGGATCACATCTTGGAAAGCGAAATCACTATCTTATGCAGGTAGAATTGAGCTAGTGGGTACTGTCCTCTACAGTTTAAACCAGTTCTGGATGTCTGTCTTCCTTCTCCCTAAAGCTGTGATTAAAGAAGTGGAGAGAATGTGTAGCAATTTCATATGGCTAGTGGAAAGAGGGGTAAAGCTCACAGCAAATGTTGCATGGAATAAACTTACTTTTCCTAAAAAGGAGGGAGGCCTAGGGTTCTGGGATATGAGTAGCTGGAACCAGGCCTGTGCTACAAGACATATTTGGAAGATATTGTTGCAAGAGGGGTCATTGTGGGTGGCGTGGATCAACAAGTACAAATTGAAGGGAAGATGTTTCTGGACCTACACTTGCACATCAGGGTCCTGGAACTGGTGTAAAATCTTGAAGCTCAGAAGTAGGATATCTCCTTTCATTTCGATTAGGGATGGTGTCCTGCTGCTTGATGATTTTCCTATGCCTCGGTTCTCTGTTAAAAGAGTGTGGCAGCTCTTTAGACCTTCTCAGCAGAAGGTAACCTGTTGGAAACTACTCTGGAAGGGTGTGGCTATACCAAGCAATCGACTGATTACTTGGTTGGTAACTCGAGGAAGTATACAAACAAAGGAAAAAATGCAGAAATGGGGGTTTCAGGGATCGATGGACTGTGTTCTTTGTGGGGGAGGGGTTGAGAGTAGGCAACATCTATTTGTTCTCTGCCCTTTCACTAGGAAGCTCCTTGACGAGTTGTTTAGTGGTTCTATGCAGGTCCCGGTTTTCCAAACTTGGGAGGACATGGTTTCATGGCTACTGTTGAAGTATGGTATACAGACAGAGGTTGCTGAAGCGGGACGATTCATCTGGCAAACGTGGGTAAGTCAGGTCTGGAGAGAACGATGTCGTCGAATGTATGGAGGTGAGGTTAGAGGTTTTCAAGAAATGTTGTCTATCATCAAGTCTGAGATTGTGTATGTGCAAGGGTGTTGCTAGCAAAGCGCTTTTTTTATGAATAAGATCCCAACGATTCATAAAAAAAAGATTCTAACTCTCCATATTGTTGAAAACAGATTTTAAAATGTATATTGTTTGGTACTGTGATTGTTAACATTCAATTAAAATAAAAATCTAATTTTATATTAAATAAAATTTGTATCCTTAATAAAAAAAATTAGAATGGTTCAAGAAATGTTAAAAACTTTGTTGATAGATATATTTCATGTGATAAATAAATAGAAGTAAGAGAAAAACCAGGAGGAAAAACAATCTCACGAATCAAGATATAGAATCTCTCTGATTATGAGAGATTTGATATCCGCAGATTTTAGAGATTTTAAATCTCTAAAGCTAAAATCAATAATACAGAAAGCAACAAAAAAACATAACTTTCTACAAAATTTACGGATTCAGTGAATCTATGTCCTAAATCCTGTTCTCCAAACGACCCCACAAATTTATCTTCTTCACTTAATGTTAGGTTTGTCCATTGATTTTATCATTTTATTTCACGTTTATAAACAGAAAATTTTAATTGCATTAGTGAGTCGCTAACTTTACATTTTTATTTCACTAGCGATCACTCTTCATTCAACTTTGTTATCTTTGTCTCTTGTAAGAGCCAATTCTCTCATTTAATCGTTAAATTAGTAATTTGTCTATTAAAAATATAGAATACAATAATGTTTTTTATTTTATTTTTCACCTCATACTCATAACTAAAATTACTAAAAAGTAAAAAAAAAAAAGTTAAACATTTTCCCTCACTCATATAGCTATGAAAATAGTCAATCACTATTTGTTTTTGGACAATGATTGATTTCCATTCATAAAACGATCGGAGTACAAACTAAACCATACTACAACATATACTCAATATTACCAAGCACTTGGCTTCAATAATGGTGAAGTGATTCCTTTGCCACCCAATTAGCATAACTATTTTTCGATTTTGGAATATATGCAATTTTTATCCCATCATTTGAGTGAAGGATTTGGCGCATCCAAAGAATCCAAGCTCGAACTTGCCATGAACCCACTTTCGAACGGTTTAGGATGCTTTCGATCAAAACCTAGCAGTCTGAGAGGATGATAGTCGATCCGCTTAAGGAATCCACATGACACATTGTTGTGCTTCGCCACTATTGCCGATGAGCAGAAGAGAGTACCAGGAATATAGGTGTTAAAACATAGCCCGACCCGATTAACCCGCTCGATCAACCCGATTCGCAACCCGACCGCAACCCAAATTGACTAAAAGTCAACAACTCGTAACCCGCCCGACCCGCAACCCGATTGACCCGCAACCCAACTAACTCGTAACCCGACTGACCCGCAACCCGATTAACCCGAACCCGATTGACCCGCAAGCCGACTGACCCGCAACCCCATTAACCCGAACCCGATTGACCCGAATCCGACTAACCCGTAACCCGACCGACTCAACCCGAATTTCATCTAATCCACTTGAATAATTGTAAAAATATACAATACATAGTTTTTCAAAATAAAGTTTTTCATTCTAAACTTATGTAAAATTATTTTTTCGTTTCGTATAAGAAATTTAAAAAATATGAAACTCACTTCATATTACGTATTTTAAGAAAATTACAAAAATTGAAACATGAAGGTCACTTGAGATCATGACAATATTAATATAATATCTAAATTAAAATTTTGGTTAATTTAACTATTCAATAAAATTATCAATTAAATATAAATAAAGTAAAGTAATGTATTTGGTAATTTGATATTTTTAAAAGAAGAGGGAAATTTTGGTGTATTCAACTTTTTGAGAAGAGAAAGAAGAGGGAAATTTGGTTCTTTGAATTTTTTAGAAAAGAAACAAGTGGGAATTTCGGTGTTTTTGATATGTGGAAAGAGAAAGAAGTGGGAAAGTTTGATTCTTTTGATTATGAAAGATAAATAAGGAGGGAAACTTTTGACTTTTCAACTTTTTGTAGAAGGAAAGAAGAGGGTAATTTGGTTCTTTCAATTTTATGGAAGGAGAAAGAAGGAGAGAAATTTTAGTATTTTTGTGAAAAGAAAGAAGGAAACAAATTTCGTGTCTTCAATTATTTGGTTTTTCATAATTTTAGATTTTGAAATATGAATCTTTAACTTTTATATGGAGGGCATGACTAGTTAAAATTATTCTTATATGCTTTGATGGCTAATATGTATATATGTATGTAATTGTTTATGGGCTAATAAATAAATTAACCATTAGTTACAACAATTTATACTAAACTTGATAAGTAATCTTTGACGGTTCGTTGTTTAAGATATAAAGTATATGGTTAGGATATAAGGTATAAGGTACATATGGTTTAGGGTGTATATGGTTAGGGTATAAGATATTGATGGTTTTGACGGTTCTAAGTTTTTTATTAACATATGTTCACTTGAAGTCATTTGAAGTCTTTAACGGTAGGAGATCCCTTTTTAATTTATGTTTATGGTACGTGGTTAGGGTACAAGGTATGTGGTGTAAAGTATAGGATATATGGGTAGGGTATAACATTTAGCAAATATCACTTTTTATCTATGTTTTGAAAATCAAAATATGAATTTCACTTTTAAATTAACTATACTAGCAAAATCACAACTCAAGGACATATGGTTAGGGTAATAATGTATTGATGGTTTAGGGTATACAATCAACAATATATACTAACTTAATATTGTTGATTGAGGGTAAGGCTAAGTGTATAGGATATATGCTATTGAGTAAGTTATGATTGAAGTCACAATAATTTTACTAAATTTGATAGCTAATCTTTAATGGTTCAATATTTAGGATAATTCGAACAATTTTACAAATAACTCGTTTGGCAACAGTTTATTGAAGTTATTTGGGCAATGAGTTATTTTGAAATAACTCCTTTTATCACTATGCTTTTGCCAAATACCACACGCCAAATATTAGATTTGCATGGTTATACTAAACGAGATATTTTAGTATAAACTAGTTATACTTTAGTACAACATTGTTAGTGAAATCATACTGTACCTGCGGTTTATTAGGAAAAATGCCTTATCATAACTTAAATCGGTAGACTATTTATAGCGACATAAAATAGTTGAATCACGATAAAATCACAATTTTAGTATAAACTATCACACTACTAACTTTCTCGGTACAACCACTCACGTACGACTTTACAAGAGTTTAGTATGAAGACCGCGATAGGTTACGGTGATTACTACTTTATAGTAATCATCGTGGTTACTAAAGGCAAACTGGGTATAACAAAAAAATTATTAATGACCTTTTTTAATAAATTACATTTTAGGAAATTACATAAATATATTAAATACAATTTTTCTCTCTCTCTTTCTCTCACTTCCACAATTTTTTCAGCCAGATCTCTCTTCCTTCTTTTTCTCAATCTTTCCTTGATTTCGTTCATCAAAACTAATACCACTGCAACAACAAAAAAATAATAAATCAATACCAATCCATTATAAACATACTACCATTGTACAAAACATCAATACCATTCAAGAAATAAAAACACTACCATTTCACAAAACATCAATACCATTGCAGATTTAATCACTACCCATGCGACAAAATAAATACCAATGTAACAAAATCAATACCAATGCGACAAAATCAATACCAATGCGACAAAAATAATACCAATGCGACAAAAACAATACCAATACGACAATAACACTACCACTACGAAAAAAATGACTACCATTTAAAAAAAATCACTACGGAAAAAATGACTACCATTCCGTCTCCCTTTCTTCCCGGCACCACCGCCAGCAGTCGGCAGCAAAGCCCTCTCCGCCCCATGATACCCGTACTGCGGCGGCGGGGGCACCACAGGCACGTGATGCCTAGGCCCTAACGCCTCGCCTAAAATGCTCCTCACCGGGAGCAGAAAGTAGAATTCCTTGTCCCCGATTTGCAGCAGATCCTGCGAATCGAGCTTCACGAGAGGGTTCCCTGGCAGGTGGAGGACGCCTTCCACCAAACATCCATTTTTCCCCAGGACCTCGAGAGCGAATGGCCGGCGGGTGAAGTCGTAGAAGACCCGAGCGTGGTGGCGGGAGTTGTTCATCCCGCCGCCGAGGCTCGTGAGATCGACGTCGACGGTCGATTACTTCGAGTTCCTTCCCAACACGAGAGAGAGAGAGAGAGAGAGAGAGAGAGAGAGAGAGAGAGGTATGCTAGGGATGGGAGATGCGAGAGAGGAGGGGAAGGGAGGAGGGCGGTGGAGGAGGTTCTCGGGAGGGTGTAGATTAAAGTAGCCACCGTGATTATGATACGGGGAAAAGTTGTATCGAGCGAGAGCTCCCTTTTCTTGGCAGGAGTTGGCCAGAGTTCTACTTTCTTGGCTAGAACAACCAGAGACTATTTGCTGAATGAAATTGCTTGCCTCTTATTCCTTTCACTCTTGACTTAAATACATGAGACGCTGACTCTAACAGACCTAACCAAGTGGAACTAATTCCACATTATACTCCTACTGCTACTGGCTTTCCCCACAAATGAAGGAGAAGCTTATTCCCAAATCCTCACTACTCTAACCACCTGCTGACTAATTCAAATCAGCTAACAATGCTGAAACCAATAACAAATAACAAATAACAACGGCAAGCAAAGACGGGTTGGGCTGATGTCTAGTTGCCGTAATGGCCTGCTGGCCTACTTGCAGACGTATCATTACCACCCCCTGAAGAACCGGCATTGTCCTCAACTGGACGAAACGATCATGGAAAATGGAAGCCAATTCCCACGTAGCGTCATCGGCCGGCAGGGACTGCCATTTCACAAGGAGTTCTTCGACAAATCGGGAACCTCGCTTGGTCCAGCGGGTCTCCAAAATGGCCTCATGAAGGAGGAGAAGCGACCCATCATCACCAATGGGAGGAATGTCCGGTTGAATGGCGGTGGCGGGTGGAGCAGGGCAACGACGCAGCAGGGAGACATGAAAGACCGGATGAACACGACTGCCGATCGGGAGCCCGAGACGATAGGCGACAGGCCCTATGCATTCCGTGACCATGTAGGGCTCGAAGTAGCGGCAGGCCAGCTTCTGAGAAGCTCGGCGAAAGACTGTATGCTGCCGGTACGGGTGGAGCTTCAGATAGACCCAGTCACCCACTGCAAATTGTTCCTCGCGGTGGCGCAAATCAGCATGTTGCTTCATACGATGCTGCGAGACAGCTCATTGCGGTCCACGAGAGCGCGGTCGACTTCGTGTGCCAAAGTGGTGCCTGGCCGGTAGTGCGGAATTGGAGGGGGAAGTCGCCCGTAGAGGGCCTGGAAAGGGGACATGCCTGCTAAGCTGTGGAAACAAGTGTTGTACCAATATTCAGCCCAAGGCAAGGACAACAGCCACTTCTTCGGTTGTTTGATGAGTAAAACACCGCAAGTATTGCTCAACGCAGCGATTCACCACCTCATTTTGGCCATCGGACTGAGGATGGTACGAAGAGGACATGCTGAGAGTTGTCCCGGACTGGCGGTGGAGCTCCTGCCAGAAGTGACTCATGAAGACGCGATCCCGATCACTAAAGATCGAGCGCGGCAGGCCGTGGAGGCAGACAATGCCGGCGACGAACTGATCAGCCACCGAACGCGCCGTATACGGGTGGGAAAGGGCGATGAAGTGGCCGTACTTCGTCAAACGATCGACTACCACCAAAATAACAGTTTTTCCCCCGGAACTCGGCAACCCACCAATGAAATCGAGTGATATGTCTTCCCAAACCTGGGTTGGAATGGGGAGCGGTTGAAAGAGCCCGGCAGGGGCCAAGGTTTGGGACTTGGCCCGCTGACAAACGTCACACGAATTGACGAACCGTTTGACATCATCGAACATACCTGGCCAAAAAAATTGGGAAGCAAGGCGCCGATAGGTACGTTCGATCCCGGAGTGGCCGCCGACTGGAGTGCAATGGAATTCCTCGAGTAGCTGGCGCACATGATCGGAATGGGGAGGGACGATGACGCTGTTGCGGTAGAGGACCATGTCGTTGCGGATGGAGTAAGGTCCAGGGGCAGCTGAATTTGCACGAGCCAGAGCCTTCTGTAAATAGGGATGTGAGAGCGTCGTGGTTCGGAGGGAGTCCCAAAGTGATGTGTGCTGAATGGAGACTGCGAGTAACGCGGCGTCCGCGGGCCGGCGGCTCAGGGAATCGGCAGCTTGGTTCTCTTTACCGGGCTCATAAACAATTTCATAATCGAAGCCCAAGAGTTTGGAAACCCATTGCTGCTATTCGGGTGTGGTAATTCGTTGTTCAAAAAGATGTTTTAAGCTCTTCTGATCGGTGCGAATGATAAAGCGGCGGCCCAATATGTAAGGACACCAGGTGTGAACGGCGGTCACGACGGCCATCATCTCCTTCGCATAAGTGGAGAGATTTATCTTCGCCTTGCCGAGAGCGCGACTCATATATGCAATCGGTCGGTCAGCTTGCATTAGAACCGCCCCAATGCCGGTGCCGGAAGCATCTGTCTCGATGATGAAAGGCGCGTCGAAGTTGGGCAGCGCCAAGACCGGCGTGGACGTCATTGCGGATTTTAGTTCATGAAAGGCCGTCGCAGCTGCCGAAGACCACTCGAACTGGCCCTTTCTAAGAAGATTGGTCAATGGTCGAGCGATCGATCCATACCCCTTGACGAATTTTCGGTAATAGCCGGTGAGGCCGAGAAAACCGCGCAATTCGGTGACGAAGGTGGGAATGGTCAGTCAACCATGGCCTGAATTTTGCGAGGGTCGACCTTCACACCCGTGGCTGTGATTATATGGCCCAAGTATTCAATTTCCGACAAGCCAAAGGCGCAATTGGAAAATTTGATGAAGAACTAGTGTTGCCGGAGAATGAGGAAGACCTGGCGAACATGCTCGAGATGGCTGTGCTTGTCGGGGCTGTAAATGAGAATGACGTCGAAGAAGACCAACACAAATTTCCGAAGGAAGGGCCGAAAGATATCATTCATGATCGCCTGAAACGTAGAAGGGGCGTTACAGAGGCCGAAAGGCATTACCAGATATTCGTAATGGCCATTGTGCGTGCGAAACGCCGTCTTCGGTACATCAGAATCGTGCATTCTGACTTAGTGGTATCCCGCCCGAAGGTCAAGCTTGGTGAAGTAAGTGGCCCCGTGAAGCTCGTCCAACATATCGTCGACGGTAGGAATGGGAAAACGATCCTTGATGGTGGCGGCATCTAATGCTCTATAGTCGGTACAAAACCTCCATGAACCATCCTTCTTCTTAACCAGCAGGACTGGAGATGAGAATGGACTGGTGCTCGGCTGGATGAGACCGGCAGTGAGCATCTGATTGACCTATGCCTCGATTTGGCTTTCTGGTAGTGAGAATAGCGATAGGGTCGGACATTAATGGCCTCAGTCCCATCCTTGAGCTCAATACGATGGGCAATCGTTCGGCGCGGGGGAAGTTGGGTGGGATCTTCGAATAAGTCGCCAAAGTCACGGAGGAGATCCTGAAGTTCCCTGGGAACTTGGTGCAGGGGATCGGTCGTCGGAAGAGGGAGGCAGATGGCCCGGAGGCTGGGTTCCTCCCGCGTCATCTCCCGGATGGTAGTTTCGGTTGGCCCGATGCTGGAAATGCCCCGCAAATGACACGGTCGGCCTGCCCATTCGAAATGCATTTCCAATTTTTTCCAGTTACTTTGAACCGTCCCCAAACTGGCCAGCCATTGAATGCCGAGGACAATATCAAATCCCGCCAGTGGAATGGCGAACAATGTGACAGGGAATTCGGTGCCTTGGACGTTGAGGAGAACATCAGTATGTTTACCCTTGCATTGCAATGGAGCCCCATCTGCAATTTTGACGTTGAACGGCGGAATGGGCGAACACGGCAGGTGGAGAGCATCGCCAGCTTTCATACTAATGAAGTTGTGGGTGGATCCGCTATCGATTAGAGCGATGAGCTTAGTGCGGCCCACTGAGGCCCACACGCGCATGGTCTGGGTTCCGGTCTGGCCTGTCATTGCATTGAGCGACACTTCGGCGTCCTCCGCAATCTCGTCTTCTTCCTCGTCCAAGAGCATCATCAGTCGCGGCTTGGCACAACGATGGGTGGGGGTGAATTTTTCATCGCAATTGAAGCAAAGGCCCGCCTGCCGTCGGCGATGCATCTCGTCATATGGTATGCGTCTGCCTCCTTGGGCCAGCGGCGGTCGGTTGCGGATCGGCGGCAGTGGCTAAGCGGTTGGGCGTTGCCTGACTGCGAAGGTGGTGTCGTAGGTAGGTCGGGTCTATGGTCGAGGGGGAGTGGTGTAATCCGCCGGTGATCGATAAGAGCTGCGGGGAGGGCTGTAGTGCGTGAGAGTTGTTCATCACGCACACGTGCCAAACTGATCGCCTCCTTCAGAGTGCGCGGATTGAAGATTCGGATGCCGTCGGCGATTTCCGGTTTCAGACCGCCAAGAAACGTGCCGACCATAACTTGTTGTGTCCAGCCCCGGACTCGGTTACCGAGCCTATCGAAATCAGTCTGATAGTCGCGAAGCGAACCTGTATGTGAGACAAGGCTTCGTCAAACCCGGTTGCGACAGAGGGTCCGAACCTTGCCCATAATTCCGACGAGAACACTTCCCATGTGATCGGGACTCCATCGGCTCGATATGTCCGTCGGAACCATTGCCACCATTGATTGGCGTCCCCTTCGAGATGATACGAGGCCAAGGATACCCTTTGCCCTTCTGGTATGGCTTGGAACTCGAAAAATTGCTCGACTCTTGAGAACCAAACGGTGGGGTCGTCTCCGGCGAAGGTGGGAAACTCTAGCCGAGCGAGTTTCGCCCCAAAGAAGGGTTGTCGGTCCTGATCCTCCAAGTCGTTGTATCGACTCTGCCGTGATTGGTCGTTCACGGACCTGTCTCCTTCCTCAGTGTGTCGATCGCCGGATTTGGCAGCCCGGTCTTGAGCGATCTGGTTGACGACAAGCTGAACGGCGGCTAGTTGATCAATGATCGCCTGGATGCCGGTTTGATTTTCGTGGATGGCGGTTTCGAGAGCCTCGATGCGCTGGGCGTGTGTGCCCATGCTGTGCTATGATACCAAATGATACGGGGAAAA